GTAAAGTTAACTCAAATTGAAGAAGAAGAATGTGAATTGTAATAAGAATTGTGATAAATATGGGCTGATATTTCAGCGGGTTCGGATCTATATTTTTTTCGGAATTTCGGGAAAATCTCCCTCGAGTTTGGAGCTGTATGTATTTTTCAAAATACATTCCAGACGCCCCAGAGAATGGAGATACCCTTGAAACTTAGTGTGGAAAAATATGACATTTCTGATGCCACGTTGAAAATTGAGTCATTTATAATCGATGTTGTCACCAGCTAACGGATTCGTTAGCATTAAAATGCCTTCTTTTATCTGCATACATCGCTTATCCTCTAGAAACACTTTAAAATACAAATTCATCGCAAAAAATGAGTGAATAATTAGAAAAACGGCCCGTTACAAGTATGAAAAAAAGGAAAAAAACCGATTAAAGTACAAAAAAATACAAATGAAATTTTTTCGGAAAGCACAGCAAAGATCTACATTCTATACACTGTTTTCATTCTGTGGACTGCTTCAAATTGGCAAGTCGAACGTCGGAATTCCGGATGAATCTGTAAGCTGATGACAACATATCCATGATAAGTGACTCCATTTTTAACGTGGCGTCAGAAATGTCATATTCTTCCCCACAAAGTTTCAAAGGTATTCCCATTTTCTGGGGTGTCTAGAGTTTAATTTGAAAAATACAGCTCCAGATTCAAGGGAGTGCTAGTCCATAATTATCACAATTCTTATCAGAATTCACATTTTTATTTAACTCAAGTTAATTTCTCTTTTTCACCCATTTTTTTCACGATGAGAATGGCCGTTTACATTGACTAAATAGCGCAGCAGCCATTTTTTCCGGTACGACACTCCGCTATTCCGCCACCGCGCGTTGTTTATCGAAACACACATTCTTCTCACCTCGGCCTCTTCCGTTCCATTTTCAGTCGATCTCTCCCCGTTTTTTCGTTACTTCCATTCAAAAATGGAGTTCTTTATATTATCTGCATGTGACAGTTTAGGTAAACACAGTTATTTTTCATTTTTGTCCGATTTCCCAATTTTTCAGGCATTCGCAAAGTACTCGGCGCCGATTTTCCAACTGATGAGCACATGGAATTCATCGAATCGATTATGAAACAGAAGGACTTGGTAAGTTTTTGCAATGTATGAATCGTGACAAGATGAAAGATGTTTCAGGAAACGGCGTTGAAAGCCAACTCGGAGGCAGCGGAAGCGCTGGAAAAGGGTATCGAGAATCTTGTGACGGCGAGCGAATTTTTCGTTCAGTTGAAGTCCGAAATGGAATGTGGCAGTTACAGAGGAGCAAGTATCAGAATAGATATGCAGGTATGTAATTTGAGGTTGAAACATGTGAAAAAACAGTCCGCCACCGTATCTCGATGTTTCTTCCGATGTTTTTCATGTCTGTTCAAAATTTATGAGATTCAAGCTTCGAGCAGGCAGATCTCGGTTGAACTTCATTTACGCTGCGAGTTTATCCAAAACCTAGGCTAGCTGTTCTTTAAAAATTTAGAAAAAATGGAAGAACTTTAGAGAGAAACCTGATAAAGACTCACATTTTTGAGGTAAAATGCGCTGTCTCAATATGAGCACCCAGGTTAAGAATCATCTGCTTTTTGAAATATTTTTCAACTGAAACAAAAATCCTCCTCCGCACTTCGAACGTATTATCGATTTTCTCACTTAATCCCACTTTTCAGGTTTCTACTCGTGTCATGGATGATGCTCCGGATTGCAAATTGAACATGCAACTCAGCACTACATCCTGGGAAAAGAAACTGAATATGACGATGGCTACGAGTGAGAAGTTGCTCGCTGAGCTTCAAAATGCTCACCGCATTTTGCGTGAAGAGAAAGCAAATGAGTTGGAGGAAAACAACAAATAATTATGATCCATATTCTTTTTTTATCTATTTCATGATCTTGTTTTATGGGTGATTGACGGTTATGTATAGGATATTTTGCATATTCATTTACAAGTCATCGAATTCGAAGATTTGTATTTATTCGCCTAATTTGAAGTTTGTGTTAAATATATAAATTTGAATTTTTTTTTGAGTTTTTTCCTCAAAAGTCGGTTATGATCCCGTTCAAATGTCTCTTTGAAATATCAAGGTTCCTGGTATTCGAAAATTTCTGTTGTAATATTTTGTGCTATCTTCCACATATGCTAGCAACAAGCCTTGTCCGTGTGGACTTCACGATTTGAAGCGATTTACGGGCTTGCTTGGCTGGCCGGGAAGCCCACACGGACAAGCTAATTTTTTAAAGAAATTCAGCCATTTGTTACGATCTGTATAAAAAAACCAAACATTTTTTTTCCGGAATGTTCGAGATTGATATCATCAATAGTGAGGAACAATGTTGTTTCTGTGAAAAACCGTTCCCCGAAGATATGGAAGAACACCAAAAACAATGTCCGGATCAATTACCGCTTTCACCATATGAAGTAAGTTTTTCAAAACTTTCTAGATTACTCTAATCTAAATTCATATTAGATTAAAAGAAAAATACTTCAACGACAACTCGAGAATTTGACGTATCAGCATGATATTGTTGCCAGCATGTTGCGCTACGATGTGACAGTCCCCGTGAAGAACGAACTGGGAGAAGGTAAAAAATAGGTCTCCCTTTTTTTCAAATATTATCTCTTTTTCAGATTTCTGCCATAATTGTGCGACTTTCGAGGAACATAAGAGAGATAATTGCCTTAAAATGACACGAATCGAAGCTTTTGAAGTTTGTGAAAGATGGTTCAATAAAGTCCAACGTGGAATTTCAGGCGCTTCTTCCCAAAATACGGTATGATTGGCTGAACATACACTATCAGCTTGTGAACGTGGATTTCGACGAAAGAATGGAAACGGCGGAAAAAGAAGCTGCAAGCGGAAACTTGAATAAGGAAAGGCAATTAAGTCAACAGATGTTGGAACTATTGCAGTTCAGCCCATCGTTCAGCTCAATGAGGTGCGGAAGAGAAGATGAGAAGGAAAAAATAGCGGACGTCCTGAAAAACCAGTCGGAGCCTTTCGAGATAGAGAAACGAAAAATTGAACGAAGGAAGAATTTCGAAATGAGAAAGGGTGAAATGAAGTTTGACGAATATGTTCGAAAGACGAAAATATCTCTGAGCGCGAGGGAAACAAGAAACTCGGGCGCGCGAGTCATTCGATTTCATTCAACTTTCAAGAAAGGTCAGCAGAGACCAGATACTCAAATAAAAATGATGTACAAAGTGTGAACTTTCTTAATTTTTCTGGATTTTTCAATTAACTTTTTTTTTCTAATATTGAATATCTTGAACTCATCTGTTGTCTGTATCTAAACGATAAATGATATTTTTGAAATGTTGCTGCTCTACGGAGAATTATGAACTTTGCTCGATTTTAAAAACCTAGCCACCAAATAATAATTATCACCACATTATTGGATATTTTTCTGGGACTTATTTCAGAAAATTCTGTTTAGGACCAACAAAAAAAGTTGAAAAACGTTTTTCTTATATTTTTTGATTCTTGAATCAATGAACCTTTGCAACGATCGAAACGCTGCGGTTTAAAGAAAACAAATTGGAACATTGCGATTTTTTTACGATCGAAACGCTGCGGTTTAAAGAAAACAAATTGGAACATTGCGATTTTTTTACATAATTATGATTGGCCACATTTATTCCAAGTTGAATTGTGTGAAGTAAACAATTCCAAATTCAATCGCCTTTATTTGTACAAAAACCCGTTTCCTAACTTTCCAATTCTAAACAATTCAAACTTTGTGATAAATAAAAGGTGATTTCAAATTGAAAACTCTATAATCGTTCTCATAAATATAATATAAGTAGCGCATGGCCTCTCTGGATTTTCTCAATTCTTCTCCCACTTTTCTCCTGATTTGAGACCCGCTTGTACTGTGCTTGGTGCGATTGGCTGAACAGTTAATGTAAATCAATAACTTACATCAAAGAAATACCTGAAAGCTCATCGAATATATGTGAGATAGTGTGATTGTCAACTCCATGGGTATCTAACACATCCATCAAATCACTAATCGTTTGGCTTTGTTGTTCCTCGGTTTCTCCAAAATACAAAAACTGATAATTCTTGATAGTGTCAGGATCAAAATCACAAAACCATGACATTGGAGCAAAATGTCGGTCTTCATAAGAATAACTTCTTAGAGATCCATCGACAATCATTTGAAATCGTGTATACTGCTCTTTGAGCACACAAACTAAATCTCGATCACATCCATAACATCTGGAGTCTTTGTTCTTCGCTTCACTGGAATTTCCGAGTATTGAAAAATTACTCAGTAACGGCTTACTGTATACACTTATCCACGAAACCTGACAAAAATCGTTCTACCGGATCTCGAATAATAGCTAGTTTTGTGGAGAATGTTGTATTTGTGGCGATGTGGGAGGCATGTGTGGTATTACAGGTTTCAGTGGAAAGACTACAAGAACAAATGAAGGACTGGGTATCACAAATAACCTACTGATTTTTGAACTCGGTTGTTAAAGAAGATGCTTTTTTGGAAAATTTTCGAGGAGTATTGAGGTAGCAGAAAAGATGGAGAAGAATTGTAGACAGGTTTTTCTGTATCCTACAAGCGGCTAGACTATATTTTGGAGATGTCTGGAATTCGGTTTAATTTCAAAGGTGTACAGTACCAGTCAATAAAATATATAAAAACTCATTTTTTTAGTAAATGTTTACTATTTTTAGGAGTAGTTGAAATCAACTGAGAAACACGTCTTAAAACTTACCACAAAAGTTGATCGGAATGGAATGAAGGGAGGAATAAATGGAGACGTTTTTCTACTGCTAAGAGTTGTTATACCTCTGAAAAATTAAAGTTTCCTGACTTGGATTCTCACGGAAATATTTAAAAATTAGCGAAAAACTTACTTTGTAATATTTTCCATTGAGAACCTTTCATCATCAATAGCTGCATAATGACTTGGTTCTTTTCCGCAGAAATAGGATAAATTGATTGATAGCATTAAAATAATGGCCAGTAGTAAGAGTGTATTGATCAGGGTCGTTGTCATTCTGTTTTCGAAGAATGAATCGCGCGAGAACTTTGTCAGGACACTCTAAAATATTTGGGTAGACTGTCTCCCTCTCCATTGAAAAATTTATGAATCAGCAACAATTCAATTGAAGGGATCATTTAATCCGATCCGATTTGCACTGTACTTGCGATCGATGGTTCTACTTGTTTCATCCCTCGCCCATTTTTCTATTCAAATCATTCCCATGAATGGAAAATTGGGGCTTCATCAGCAATAAGAGACAAAAAACGACCACGACCAACCATCATTTTTCCTTCACACTAATGAGGCACAATTCGAGAGAAAAACGTCATCAACAACTTCAATCAACTGGCTTCTGCCGCCGAATCCATTAGACACAAGAAGAAGAAGAACGAAAAACGGCTTGCAGAGCGAAAAAAACATACACAGAGACAAACAGAAGCTGAAAGTCTCTCAGTTGTTTTTGACCCCAGAGTCAAAGAGGTTCAAACTACGTGAAAGTCGCAAGTCAGTTTTTTGATGAACGGCGGTTCGGAACTATATAGTTATGGGAGAGTCGGGTTTTGGGTTTTGACCTCTAGGTTACTGTAGTTTGATAATTTTTAAATATTGGTTTTTATTTCCTGTTAGATTTAAGCTGTGGGCTACTTAGACATAACCGGCTTTGACAAAATTTACCGTAAAATCTGTGAAAGAGCCTCTTTGATTTTAACTTAGAGCCAATTTATCTCGGTTCCTGTCATAAATATCAAAAAGTGGTCAACTAAAAAATTGCTTGTCATAATATGAAAAATCATAATTCTTAAAAAATGCCGAGATTTAATTATGCAGTCCACTAGCTTCAACTGCCTATAGTGAACAGGATTGCTCATCTCCACCTATCAAAATAAGACCATCAAATCCTACCTTTCCGTTCATGTCTTTGGGAGCACCAACACATTCTCATTTGCCTTTTGCCCTCATTTCGTATTAATACATCACTTTTCAAGCTGCTCCTTTTTCTCACCGCCGTTTCCGCCATTTTCCTCCATGTTTCATTCGCCGCCGAACATTTTCCTTAGCCTCTTCTCTCCGGTGTATGTTAGACCCCACATCCTTCCTCTCTGGTTGTGGTGGGACCGCCGGCCGTCAATCATGGCATCGGTGCTAATCCAGAAATTGAATGAATGGATGGAATTAGGGCACGTGTGTGTATGTGTACGTGTTGTGTCAATGAGTGTGTATATATAGGAAAAGCAAGGGTAAAACCAGCACCATATAGACAAACACATATTTTTTCAATATATGTTTTCATCTCCCCTGCCGGTGTGTATGTGACGTGATGGAATTGTTTTTCTTTTCTCTCCATTTTTCAAAGAAGAAGAAGAAGACCAATTGTGCATCTTTCTTTGCTCTTGCTTTTTAATTTTTCCGTTTTAGCGTTCCATTTGCTTCGTCATCCTGCTCCTCGTCTTCTTTATCCTCGTTTTTTTTTGGGGTGGGGACTTGTCTCTAGTGTTTTCCTGGCGCCGAGAACGGTCCCCTCAATCTGTGACTCCGATCTGTTTGAGCTTTCAACGAATGCGTTCGTCGTTTAGGATATCTCATGGGATCAAGTGCCGAGATGAAGAGTAAAAAAGCTCATGCACTTCTTCGGAAGCTTTGCATTGCACCAGTTGTCTCCTTTTTTATATTTTTCCCAAGAGTAATAGGATGAACTAACTGGTGTCGTTTTTTTTCTCAAAAGGGGAGAGTAAAAAATTGCTCTATTATACAGAGTACGAGAAGGGCTACAGTAATATATCACTCTTCCCTTTTTTCTTCTGGGTTACGGTAGCTTTTCCGTTCCCCGTTTGGCTTTATTTATTTGCCAAAGATTGACTTTTCCTTTTCTTCTTCTTTTTTTTGTTGTGCCTTTCTTTTTTCTCAAACCTCTTCATTAGAGGAGCAGTCAAGGAGGGCAAAGCCGCCGTTTATTTCCGGAAGAAGACTAAACGAGAAGCGAGAAGCCACAACAAGGTGGCAGAAGAAAAACGAAGGCACACATGCACATACACATACATAAAAACGAATTCTAATTAACAAACGCTTGCTTTGATTTGAAAACGACGGAGCAAGAAAAAATGCGACGTCTTCGTCTGGGACTTTTTTTCTGAACATGTTTGGATGGGAAATCGTCCGAAAACAGTGCTTCTAAATTTTCACTATCACATTTCTCCATAAATTCTAGTTGTTTGTCGAATTTGACATTTTTTTCATGTCACCGCATTTGTTGGAACGTCAAAAACTCGCTAATTCATAGTTATCCCTACTGTCTCAATCTGACTAACTGGCTCCGAGGGGTTACTGTATCCACCCAGTTTTCTCAGGTTAATTAAATTGCGTTACTGAAAATCTGAAATTTGATATTCTAGGGCTTATGAGATGTGTCTTAAAGGATCAAATTTGAGAACTTTCAGTCAAAAAATGTTGTTAACCTGAGAATTAGTTGAATACAGTAATCCCTCATAGCCAATTTGTCAAAATAGATTTCAGATACGTATAATCATCAAAAAAGGAAACTTTGTTTTTTACGCTTATCTAATTAGCTTTAGAAGATCAAATTTGACAGCTTTTAGTGCCGCAATTTGAGAATTTTGTTGCTACTGTAATCCCTAGAGCCAATTAGTCAGAATGAGACCGTTAAGGAAATCAGAAACGAGTACTTCTTATGATGACAAGTTTTTTTCGGAAAAGGGCGGGGTGGGGCACTGTAATATTGTTGAACCAATTAGAATACATGTAAGATATAACTCTCCTGGGACAAATGTCAAAAATTAATTCGATGCTTTATTCTAGTGCTCAACACCTTTAAAACCCCATTTTTGACTATCCATTTTTGATATTTTTCTTAATTGAAATTTTTATTAATTTGAAATTTCGAATTTTTTCTTCTAAACTCGTGTTTCCTCAGCAGACTTGTGTTTCCAATGTTTTAATGAATCAGACTTTATTTCAAGTACAGTTTTGCAAGAAGGGGCAAATTTTTTGGTTTATCGGCCGCAAGATTCTGTAATTTCAAAAATGTATATGCAGAATGATTCACACTGATAGTTATTTAGGTTAAATATAAATGTACTAAAACCATAAAATTAAGAGTACGGTACCAAGCATCCAACATTTAGATTTTCTTCAAAAACAAAAAAGTGGAGAAACTGTTTTAAACCTACCGTAAACACTCACATTGAATGATTCTTGAACTGGAAGCTTAGAGCCGACATATCTCCATTTCTTTAGAAGATATCAGTAAAGAATCCACAGACAAAATGTTTACTATGTTGTCCAAAATATTTTGTCAGTTAACGTCTTTTTGATGTCTATCACAGGAACCGAAATGACCTGGATGAAAGATGAAAGTAAGGAAGGTCATTCTATTAGAGTGTTCTCAGACAAGAATGGAGGTCCTGCCGCTGTCCTGTGGCAGGAACATTTTTTTAACACAGAGTCTTAACCCGCCGGCAAGAACGCTTGGAAATTTTACACACAATAATTCCTGCCGGCGGGTTAAGGCACTGTGCTAAAATAAAAATTCCTGCCGCAGGGCAGCTGCTGGAACTTCATTCTTGTCTGAGTTCAGGGTACCCTTGTTTTGTGTTGGGTATGTTATTACGATTTTTTTTTTCGTTTTTTTCAACATAACAGTTTTTTAGAAGTGATCGTCATACTGTATTTATCACAGAATCTGCAAGGATCAATTTCGAAATATCAAGAATGTTACTTCGCGACGTCTCTTGGAAACCAACCAAAATCACTATAAACAGCGTAACTGAAGGCCACCCTATACTCGCATTTTGAGCTTAATTATTTCCGATTTTATGAGAGATTTCAAAAATATGTTAACTGATAAAATGTTGGTTATATCACGGCATATTAGTTGGCAAATTTCCGTTATTCGCTGCAGGATTTGAGATAATTGAGCTCAAAGGGAGGTATAAAGTGGCATTCTAGAAATCTTTTTACGGTGTGTTTCAAGTTTCCGAAAACAAATGCGACCTTTCATGATAGCAGAATTTTACGTTTAATAAGAAGCTCTGATAACTGAAACTATTACCCAAAATAACGAAGATGAAAAATCCCAAAACACGTCTTTTTTAGAAAAAGTATTACAATTCTGCTCCTACAAACAAAAGACTGAAAATATAGTTGATCTAAACCCAAAGGCATGTTTTCGAGACAAATTTCTGTTTTTCTCCGTTTTTTTCTACTCCTTCTTCCACTCATTTCACCAGTTGTTCGACGTGCTCAGTTCTCTTGTTCGGGGTCGGAATGACAAATTCTAATATTTTCTGTCCTAATCCGTTTTTTTCACTACACTGTGAGAGAAAACAACTTTTGTTCTGAAAACTACAAAGCAGTACGGTAAAAGCTTCTTCGAAACACCGAAAAAGGGTCCACTGATCTGGAACTCTTGGATCTCAAGAGTTCTGTCTTATTCCAAAAAAAGACTGGTCGTTTTATTTTGGAAGAAAAAAGGTACAGTAGTATTTTTCAAGTACCCCTTCTTCTTTTTTCTCCGTTTTTTTTCTTTTCTCGCAATTCCTATTCCATTCGGTCTTCTTTCAATATCCTCACCAATTTTTTTTCCATTCAGTTTTCCTATCTCCGGAATGTGAATTGAGAAAAAAGGATGAGGAAGAAAGGTTGGAAAAGTGTAGCACTACCTATAAAAAAGGAAGAGGTGTTCATAAATCTCGATCAAGCTTCCCAGCGCTTCCAATTCTCGAAACGGTGTGAAAATGAATTTGAGAGATGAAGATGGGAAATTGGGAGAAGAGTTTCCTTCAATTTTTCTTTATTCGTGGTTCTTATTTTATTACCAAAAAGTGCGATTTTTCCTTGAACTTTGTGACAAGTCCAATTTGCTTAGAAAGTAATGAGCCTTATTTATTGAGCCACTTTGTCCGGAAAACTTGAGTACTACGTATCCCGAGGTATTTGATGACAATTGAAATGTGATGTATAGAATTTCAGTGACATGAGCTGAAATAAGAAAAGTT